CATCCCAGCACTCGGGAGGCTGAGGCAAGAGGACCGTTGCAAGTTCCAGACCAGCCTGGGCTAAAGTAAGCTCAAGACTAGCCTGAACTGTATAGTGAGACCCTGTCTCAAAAAGACAAAAGACTAAAGACCAAAAAAAAACCCAGAGCTGGCACACACTTGTAATCCTATTACTTACGAGCTGAAGCATGAGGATTATTGTGCATTTGAGGCCAGCCTGAGCTACTTGGCAAGTTCAAGACCAACCTGAACTACATACTGAGACTGTCTCAACAAGCAAAACAAACATAACAACATCAGCTCCTTCCAAAGAGAGATATATGCTACACATAAATACCTGTTACTTTTTGACCTGAAATTGAATTTTTTTTGGCTTCTTAAATATCTTTTTAAAGAACAGCATAGGTGGACACAACTTAAGTCCTGACTCCACTAGAGACTGCAGTGGGCTCTGGGAAGATGTGGGCCAAAAGGAGGCTCCAACCCCATTCTCCAGTCACTTTGCTTACCAAAAAAACCGACTGCCCTAGAGAGAGACAAACTAAGAGAAGTGTATCAAAAAGATGACTCCCCTAAAGAAATACAAACTGAGAGAAGTTCGTGGAAGACAAAGGGTATACAGGAAGCTAAAGGAGTGGGCACACTGATCCAGCCTGGAGCTGCGCAGAGGCCTCACTGAGAGCGGATAGCTAAGCTGAGGTCTGAGCCGAGGTCATTCACTCCAGGAAAGCAGAGCACTGGTTCAGCAGGCAACCACCCTTTTTTGAAGGTAACAAGCCACGCTATGGAAATGACGGAAGGCTAACAGCTGGCAGACCCAGGGTGGGGTGGGAGGTGTGGTCTGCCTCAGCTCCAAACAGTTCCCAATCACCAGGACTGGTAATGGCTGTGTGACCGAAGCCAAGCCAGGCTTTGTTGAGATTAGTTGGTATTAATGTTCAAATTATTTTTGGTTAAGCCAAATAAATTCACAAACAACACCTCACACAAGGGACCCTACTTGAACGGCCACCATGAAAAGCTGCTTTCATCTTCGTCACGGTGCACAAGATTCCATGCAAGCTGCTGTGGTCAAATGCTGGGGAAGTTCTGGTACTCCAACCAGAAGGCAGAATAAGCACCTGCCTTTTTTAAATTTTCCAGACTCAGGAACAATGCAGGGCCTTCACACTGAGCTACATCCCCAACTTTCTTTTTTTTTTTTTTTTTTTTGAGATACGGTTTCACTACATTGTTACGTTTTCTAAACTAGGCTGAAACTCATACTATTCCTGCTTCAGACTCTGGAGTGCTGGGATTACAGGCCTGGCCACCAGGCCCAGAGGACTCAGTATCTGCAGACGGAGATGTAGCTGTGCTTCATCTTCCTCACGATGAGAAAACCCTGTGGCGGGTCTGCCTTTCCTGGTGTGGGTGATGCCCCACACACCAGGCGGAACTCTTAGAACTTTCAGTGATAACAAACGGCCTCTGCAGCACTCGGATGGTGGGTTCCTTGGCACTGGCACGTCCTGTCCTCCAAGGCCCCTGGGTGATCCGGTCACCAACCTCTCACTTGTGTTAGAAGGGCCAAGGCCACACTCCTCATTGTCACTGGCACACCACCTCCCATTCCCATGGGAAAGACCATTCTACACACACTTCAGGTGAATCTAAATTGTGTCCAGATTAGCACTTTTAAATGACCTGGATAATTGTTTTAAAATGATATCCCTTTAAAAAAGAATGAGGTGCTGGGGATTTAGCTCAGCGGCATAAATGCCTGCCTTGCAAGCAAGCAGTCGTAGGTTCGATCCCCAGTACCGATAAAAAGGAAAAAGACAAAAAAATAAGAAAAACAAAAACAAATCAACCCAATCAAAAACAGTCAGAAAAGACTTCTATCTACTAACTCCCCAAATTTTAGGGTTTTTTTTTTTTTTTTTTTGTCTTTTTTCCTTTTTATCGGTACCAGGGATTGAACTCACGACTGCCCTGCTTGCAAGGCAGGCGCTTATGCCACTGAGCTAAATCCCCAGCCCAATAGTTACTAGATTTAAAAGTTGGTACAAAATTAGGCATGGTGGCACATGTCTGTAATCCCAGCATCAGGAGGCTGAGGCAGGAGGATCACCACTAGTTCAAGGCCTGCCTGGGCTATGAAGTGAGTACAAGGCCAGCCTAAACTGCGTGGTGAAACCCTGTCTCAAAAAGAAAAAAAAAAAAAAAGAAAAATTGATACAAAATGCAAATATATCTATAAAATATTACCCCATAAAAATGAATTTTACCAAAAAAAAGGTAAAGGGGTCAAATTATGCAGGTAAAGGCAATCTACATAGCTTAGATTTGTCTTGTTTTTGTTATGTTTTGCTTTGTGGGTACTGGGAATTGAACTCAGGATCTTGTGTTTGCTAGGAAGGCACTGTGCAGCTGAGCTATATCCGGGGCCCCTTTTGACACAGTTTTGAAACAAGCTCTATTAGTTTTACTCAATGAACAGTGTCTTGCTAAATAAAAGAGAACATCCAAGTGAGTGCCCTGAGTTTTGCTGTTTTTGTTTTGTTTGTTTTTGAGGCAGTCTCTCACTATATGTTCAGAGTAGCCTTGGACTCACCATATAGCTCAGAGTGGACTGGAACTCAGCAATCTCCTGCCTCAACCTCTAGAGTGCTGGGATCACAGGTGTGTGTCACCACACCCAGCAAGTGATCTTTTTTTAATGAAGCAAACCAGGACAACCAGATTCAAATGAGGTTTGCCACAAGAATACTTCAGAAGTGTGCTTCATGCATCTGTGCAGCAGTCTGGAAGGCTGATGCAGGATAACTCCAAATTCAAGTCCAACCTAGGCAACCTAGCAACTTAGTGAGACCCTATCTCAAAAAAAAAAAAAAAAAATTTTTTTTTTCCAATGAAAGGGCCCTGCACCAAAAAAGAAAGAAAAGAAATAATGTTTCAAGGTTAGAGGTGCAGTTGCTAGTAAAGCACTAGCCTACCATTAAAAGGGCCTGGGTTCAATGTTCAGCACCATAAATGAGGCAGGGTCTTGTTGCCCAAGCTAACATCAAACTCATAACAATCCTCCTCCCTCAGCCTCTAGAATACAGGACTGCACCACTACACCCAGCAAAAAAAAAAAAAAAAAAAAAAAAAATTTAAAGTAATGTTTGCTGTAGTCATTGCTACTGGTAGTGAATTTAGCTTTTAACCACATTATGGTTTATATAAATATAAATCTTAAAACTTATTTCTAGAAGAAAAAGCCTGATATTTTTGGTCCTCCTCTAATGATGGCATCTTTCCATTTAACAATTACTTTTAATTTTGGCAGGGGTAGGGTGAGGTGAGGTAGAGGTGGTGGTACTGTGGACTGAATCAGGGACTTTAGCATGCTAAGTAAGCATGATACCACTGAGCTACATCCCCAACCTTTTTTACTGTTTATTTTGAGACAGGGTCTTGCTAAGTTGCCCAAACTGGCCTTGAACTTGGGAATCCTCCTGCTTCAGCCTCCAGTGGCTGGCATGCACCACTGCACCTAGCATGTTTGTTTTAGATATATTTTACATCTCCTGAGTGCTTCAGAGCTTTAAAATCCATTGCTATTATGTTGTTAATCACATGTGTACTGCAATATTCCCTTTTTAAAGATGTGCAAATTGTAGTTAAATAACTTATCCAAGGTCACCCAACAAGTCAGTGACACGCTTGGGAGCAGCACTAAAATTACAGCTCCCAACTACTGTGCCTTCCCAATTCCAAAAAGAGAGGAAAAGTCAAGCGACTTGAGAAACTTTTAACAATATGCCCTAAGTATAAGCACAGTGTACTTATTCTAATAAACGCAAACAAGGATTCACCTTGAATGAAACAGTTCCAATACTGTAGATACTTTTGTTACAAGTAGAAATTCTGTACTTCATTTGGACATATGACATCCTAGGGGATGCTCACTCTTCAATATGTAGTTTATTTTCACACTAAGCATTTATAAATTAACCTATCACCTTATCCAGTCCTGAGATGCTAATTTCCTGTTTCCTAAGAGTCAGGTCAAAGATCATCATCTCAAAAGTCGGCAGTTCTCACAACACAGTAACATCGCCAATGAAAGAAAAGCTCTAATAAATTACTACTTTTAAAGATATTTTAAAACATGATTACATGCTTCACAGAATTACTGTTAGGTCCCCCGCCTCGCCAAGAAGAAGGGCTCTTTTAAAGCAGTTCTTAAGGCATATCCCTCCCTCTTTGGGATACAGCCTGACTTGTCAGACAAGATTCACCTGGGCACGCTCACACAGAGCCCCTCGAATCAGTTCAGTCGATTGGAAACATTACTTCCACTCCCCACCCCTAGTACTCAGCCCTCGCGGGCTGCAAGGGAAAGAAGGACTCTCTTTCTAGTCTTTCGGCAGAAGGTTCCCTCCGCGGAGACAATGACAGCCATCCCTCCCGCGGAGGATTTTGGAAACACAAAGTGCCAACCCCAGAAGGAGCGGCTCTGAGAAGTGTCAGTGCGGCAGCAGGTGGAGTGCCCCTGCGTGCCGGGCAGGTCCTTTCTGACCTAGTCTTGGTCCTCCGCCTCCCAGCCCCGGGTCTGCCTTACAGACCTTTGCGAGCCACCTCGCACCCTAATCTCCAGCCCAGGGCGAGATTCCCACCCGCCCAGGAGCCGAGGCAATGGGAGCAGACAAGCCGGCCACGCCACCTCTTCCGGGGACCTGCAGGCCCGCTCCCTGGCCGTGTCACAGCCTGCCGGACCCTGCCCGGAGACAGGGAGCCGGCTCCCTCGGGGCATCCCGGCCGGAACCCGGCACGCCACAGCCCCCGCCCCCCAACCTCCACCCTTCTCCTCCAGAACCCCCTTCCTCAAGAGTACCCCAGTGGAGTTGCCGGCCCACTCAAAAGTACGAGCGACGGCCACCCCCACTGGTCACCCTGGGGCCGCTGTCACCGCCCTGCTCCCAGCCTCTGCCCGCGCCGCTGGCGGGCCCCGGTGACGCCCGGGTCGGTACCTTGCGGACCCCCTTGTAGATATAGAAGTAGAGCTCCCGGCCCACATTGAAGCAGAGGCGGTCGCCGTTGCCAGACTGGTCGTTGAGGTTTACGAAGGAGACGCGGACAGGGTTGGATCCCTGCGAGTTGAAGGGCACCCGGTTGGGCCGGCTGTACTCCGAATGCTGCAGCTGCTTGTACAGACCTTCCCGGGTGGTGAATTGGGTCTTAATCTCGTTCATCTCCTTCCCTCCTCCCTCCGTCGCCATCTTGGAAAGCAGCGTTCATCCTGCCCTAAGTGCCCGGATCACGCCCACCGCGCAGGCGCCGTCTCAGGCGCTCGCTCTACCCCCGCCCCTTCCTCCTTGCCCCGCCCACCCTCGAGCCAGCCCCGGGAAGGCGGGCCGAGGGGAAGGGGCGGGCTTGTTTACGGCTGGACTGCGCACGCGTACTCACCTGGCGCGCTGCACGAGGCGGGCGTCCTCAAATTGCTTGCCCGGGCGACGAGGACCGTGCTGTGGCGGGAGCCGGCGTCGTTTCCGGCTGCGCTGCGGACCGGAGGGCAGTTGAGAGAGAACCGAGCGAGCTGGTGTAGACCCAGGCGGCCTCCTCAGCGATGCCCAGAGCGGCCCTGAGATTTCCTGAGAAGCGAGCCGCGCACCCCTGGGGTCCGCGCTGTGGCCAGCTGGCCGGAGCCTCCCTCACTTCCTGAAGTCTGTGTCCAAGAAGGTATCGCGGGACTGCGCTTTTTAAGGTGGAGAGAACGAGACTGCAAGAGTCCAGTTTACAGTGTCTGATATAATCTGACATTCCCTAAAAGGCAGAGATGAGAGCTCTTGAAATACCAGGACAGGTTCTGATAGCAATCCGAATCTCCTATAACTTATTTTGCATCAAAAATATATATTTATATTTATAGCGGTCATATTGGTGAAAGCGGTATCCTGAACGATTCAATAAGTAGTTCAACTGTTTTTCCTGGTTATGGAGAGGGAAGGAAGATAGTACTTTTTGGGGAAAGGACCCCTTATCAAGCAAATGCTAAAAGAAAAAAATTTGTATTGGCTCTGGGCCTCGCATTCTGAGTCTTATCCCCTATCAATTCCTTGTGTGTGTGTGTGTGAGTGGTGATACTGGAGATTGAACCCAGGGCCTTCGCATTGAACTGCCACATCGTAGCACTGTTTGTCGCCGTTGTTGGTGTTGGTTTTGGGTTTGGTTTGGTTTGGTTTTTTGAGTCAGAATCCCGGTTATCCAGGCTAGGGTGGAACTTGGAGGCCTACCTCAGCCTCCTAGAGAGTGCTTGGGATTATAAATGTGCCTCACTACACCCAGAAATTCAACACTTTTATTATCATTCCATAATAATGGGCTCTGTATGTTAGCCACAGCTTTTAAATAATTTCAACTTGTGGTACCTTTCTCTTGTTTATTCCCCCCATACTCAAGGATTCAATAAATAAAACCTAAATTGAGCCTAACCTGATTTTCAGTTTCACACCAGTTTTTTCTTTCTAAATGTGTTAGTGCTATTTAAAACTTGAGCAGGATATGGCAGCACACACTTGTAGTCAATCCCAACACTTGGAAGGCTGAGGTGGGAGGGCCACTATAGGTTTGAGGTCAGCCTATGCTACATAATTCCAAGTTAAGCAGCATTGTATTGTGAGACCTTGTCTCAAAAAAAAAAAAAGCCTCTAATAAATAGATAATAAATAAATAAAACCTGAATCTGAGCTATGTATGGTGGCACAGGCTTGTAGTGCTACCACCCTGGGAGGCTGAGACATGAGGATCGTAAATTTGGCCCAAACTGAGCAGTTGGTATCTTAAAAAAAAAAAAAAAAAGACTAGGGATGTAGCTTAGCAAAAACAAAAATAAAACTTAAATTGGAGCCAAGGATAAAACTCAGTGGGATAAAACTTGACTAGTATGCATAAGATCATAGGCTCAATACCTATCCCCACAAAATAATTTGAATCATCATAATGGTTTTGTGAATTATTTCCTTAATATTGCCTTTACTCTCAGCTTTCTTCCTGTGTTCCTTTTCTGACTTTCTTAAAATTGAGCTTTAAACATTATATTCCTTTCCCAAAAATACTTTCAGTGTCGTGGAATATCCACACTATTTAAGTTATATACCAGCTTTTCTCAGCCTGTTCTTTACCTAACATAAAAATCCTGAGTTCTAATCAAACCATCCAACAGTCTGTCACTTAGCTTTGTCCCTTGCTTGAAAAGTCCATCTCAGGGCTGGGGATTTAGCTCAGCAGCATAAGCACCTGCCTTGCAAGCAGGCAGTCCTGAGTTCGACCCCTGGTACCGATAAAAACGAAAAAGACAAAAAAAAAAAAAAAATCCGAAAAGTCCATCTCTTTCTCTTAGAGTCATAGGCTGTCATGTGTATGTGTGTGGGTGTGGGTGTGTGTTACTAGGATTGAACCCAGGGAAAGTTACTCATATTCATGCTGGTCTCAAACTTATGATCCTCCTACTTCAGCCTCCTGGAGTTAGCACTACAGCTCTTTTGCTTAATAATCTTTTTAAGGTCTTCAAATACTGCACATTTAGTCAGCACTGAATATGTGGGCTGTATGATGAGCACTTATGTACATTCTTTCCTTTTTACATAGAACCTGACATGCGAGCATGTGCAAGGACCTAGGTTCAATCCAATCCCCAAAAACACATGGAAGAAAAAAATAGTTGGGGGCATAGTGGCCCTACCTGTAATCCCAGCACTGCAAGACTAAGGATCACAATGAGTTTGAAGCCAGCCTGGCATTGAGAGATTATCTCAAAACAGAAAACAAAGGAATCCATTATTGTCACAAAACTGATACTCTGTCACACACATCCAGTTGAATTTATTATTTAGAATATCTCAGAACTGAACCCCAATTAGGTCATCACTTTTTTTTTTTTTTTTTAACTCATGACTTCATACTTGCCAAGTGGGTGGTTAGGCCACTGAGCTAAATCCCCAGCCCTGGGCATCACTTTTTACAGTTAGAACCTTTGCTACTTTGTTTTGTCATTGTTCAGCTTCTCCAGTGGGAGGTAAATAACCCCTTATCTAACCAACCCAATAAATATTGTAGGTTTTACCTTTGTGAAGATACAACAAAAACTTTCAGGCTTAATACACTTACACAAAACAGAAAGGGTGTTAACTCTTGTGCTGTAAGTAAGGGAAGGTTGTGAGCTGGGTGTAGTGCTCTATACCACACCTGTAATCCTAGCATTTGTGAGGCTGAGGCACGAGGACCACCTTGAGTTTGAAGCCAGCCTGGGCTACACACTAAAACCCTGTCTCAAAAAAAAGCAAATAAGGAGAAAGATGTTCCTGTAAATAGTCGGAAGCACCTCTCTGCATCTCTGAAGAGGCTCAGCAGCCTTCCTATCTCCAGCCATAGACTGCTGGAAGGCTGTAGTGGGCAGTGGGGGCCTGTGGTAGAAAGATGCATCTTTTAATTCAGAGACTCATTGGAGGAGTGAGGCTCAGAGGTGGAATGCTTGCTTATCAAGAAGTGCAGGTGCAGGTTTGATCCCCAGACGCACCAAAAAAGGTGTGTGTGTGTTCTTCCCAAAAGAAATTTTTGAGCTAGTTATTCAGGAAGCTGAGGCAGAAGGAGGGCAAGTTTGAGGGCAACCTGGGCAGCTCAGTAAGACCCTGTCTTAGGCTAAAAAAGGCTGGGAGTGCAGCTGAGTAGTAGAGGTCACAACCCTGGTACTGCAGTCCAAAGACCAAAATCCTTGTTGATGTCTCCAGTGCGAAGGCCGTAAGACAGGGGGTATTGTCTTCAAAGGAGGTCTGTTACTGGCCTTACTGAGAGGAAGAACCATTATTTTCAGAATCAGAATCCCCAAGTGTTGCTAGGCATATGGTAAATGCTTAACACACACTGCAGTGTTAGCTCTGTGCTCCATCTTCCTGTTTCTGCCTCCCCCCCACCCCTTTCCATGCGGCTGCTTCCTGCCTTCCTCATTCCCGTCATACCTGGGCATCCCTGCTTCCTATTACTGGGATTCCCTCCCACAGTGTTCATCACAGGAAGCAAAAAAGCTGCTCATCTTCCCAGACTCCAGGAGTCAACTGTGCTTGCCATGTGCTTTGTTCTGCATGTTCATCTCTTGATTTTCTGAAGAAAGGCTGCAAACCAAAGTCATGCCCCTTATTTTCTGTCACACTATTATTTCTTTCATAACACCACACTTTCTAATAGATGTACTTGTATACACATATGGGCACACATGCACACACACATACATGTTTACTTAAACCTCTGGCTTCTGCAGGAGACCCTGGAGATGCATCTCCACTCTACACTTGGTGTGTAGACAGAGGCCTACAGTAGGTCACTTCCTTTGGAAAGAGTTTTAACACCTTAGGTTAATGCTTAATCCTGTACACTGCCATCCCGTCTCACTGGGTTGTTAGCCACACATGACTGCAGCTCATGTAACTTGGAAGGTATCTATTCATGCTCTCTTTTCTCATAGCTCACCCCTGCGGTGAAACTGCCTCAGGGTCACAGGACTTGTGCCTTTTTTTCCCTTTTTTCCAGAAGTACTGGGGATTGAATCATGAGCCCTCGTGCTGAGCCACATTCCCAGCCCACTTTTTTTGAATTTTGAGACAGTGTTTTACTAAGCCACTAAACTGTGCAGGCTGGACTCAAACTTGGCCATCATCCTGCCTTAGCCTCCCAGTGTTGAGATTATACACCACCCAACTTACATTAGTTACTTTTGAAACATGAAAAAATCATTGATGTTTGAATATTTAATTTATAACCTGCCACCCTGTTCTACTGTCTTACTATTTTTGAATAGTTTTTCAGTTGATAATTAGGTTTTCCAGCACATAGTCATTTAGAAATAATGTTAACCTTTTGAAACTTTTGTGAACCACACTAGTCAGCATTTGCCAATACATTATTAAATAATGGAGTCATGAACAGGGTTCACTTCGAGTCTTTTGACCAGAAGCCCAGTGCTCTTTTGTGGGTACAAATTCAATCCACTAACCAGTTATTGATCACTAACTATAAAGCACTGTCCTAGATGTAAAACATGGTTAAAAGAATAATAAGCCATGCATACTAGTACAAGCTTGTAAACCCAGTGCTTTAGGAGGCTGAGGCAGGGATATTAAAAGTTTGAGTCCCTCGAGACTCTGTCTCAAAATTTTAAAATGTCGGCACTGGGATTTAGCTCAGTGGCATAAGTGCCTGCCTTACAGGCACTAGGTCATGAGCTCATTCCCCAGTACCAAAAAAAATTTTTTTTTAAATGTTTAAAGTGGATGGGGATGTAGTGCTACT